GTGATGAGGGCTTCAAAGCATGCGACAGGGCACAGCAGTCAGGCTGCTTCCTCTTCTGGGCCCTTTGGTGCGTCCCTCTACAAAGAGATGCTCCAGATGCACATCAGGCCGCGTCAACCTGCCGCCCTCCCGACTCGTCCGCCCCATCTGCACCTTGCTCGCCGGTGTCTTATTAGTGAAGGAGCTTGTGCTAATGGAGCGTTTGATGAGATGCAGCTGCTTTCTAAAACATCAAGGCTGGAAACGCTTCAGACAGAACAATCAGTATAATTTTAGCAGAGGCTTGGGCTATTATCCTTTAGCCTCAAATCTGCATAATTGAACCCTAAACTAAAATTAAATGCTGGAACATCATCTTTGTCTCCTTTCGCATGCGTTCTGTGTTAAATTAAAGCATTTTCTGATTCACTGAATACCCATTTGTTGGCCCGCTGTATTCTGTTGATCGGCCAGTATGAGACACTGACACTTTGGTGCGTTTAATGTTCTTTTTTTTCTTCCGTACTTTCCACGATTCATCGAACTAAGGGGAGATATTCAAATCCAGGCTGTTACAGCGCATCCACAGGGCGGTTACTTTGCATTCATCAACCCTCGATTTCACTCAGATTCACTCTGTCTGCGATGGTAATTATGAGAAAGATGAGTAAAAATGTGCAGGTACAGTCAAGAAATGAGAACTGCAGGAATCATTATCAACTCAAAGTCATTTTTTACCTGTTTTTAGATGACCGAAGGTACAGTGCGTAAAATTTAAAGGCTGAAAAATTCCTGTATTTGCCATGCAGATTAAAACCCCGTTCATTTCTTCAGTTTAACTGCTCATTTAAGGCACCAGGGAGCTGCCTGATCAGCCTCCTGTTTCCTTCTGTGAGGGAAAGATGCGGACAACGATTGTATTTTTGATACACCAGTTTCAAAATTGCGACAGGACATTTACAGGTTTAAAGGCCGTTTAATGTTGCAGCTAAAAGGGTAATTCAGCAGGAAATGGGTTGTGAGCGGTGCTGAATGCTCTCTTAGGGAGACTGCTCTGAAAGGGTTGGCAAATGTGTACTTGCACAGTTGACATATAATCGAATTGGAGGGAGAGTTATGTGTGCGTGCGTG